AGATTGGAGTTTAGATATGATTACCACTCCCATTCCTCTTTATTTCTCAGCTCTCAACTTTTATTTCATGCCAATTTTCCAATATGTCATATTTATATTTAAATATATATTTGCATTCGAATCTTACATAAGAGTAATAGTGCTAATAATCCACAAGACCCACTTTACTGCTTCTTTCCAGGGAAATACATGTTATACTCGCAGACCTAACTTATAACCATAACAGCTCTCCCCTAAGGCCTCTATGCTTATAATCTCATGACTCCTATTTCTACAAATCCCAGAGTCACAGAGTGGATGCTATTTCTTCTAACAGCATCCTGGTGCCTACATGCCTAGCGAGGTGAATGCTGGATTTGGAAGGCTGGTGGTGCTCCAGTGAAATGAATACGTACAGATCTGGGGGTCGGTTCTCTTACTGATGGGTAGTTGGGACTAGGAAGCAGGCTTGGCTCACCCAGTAGTTAAGGGAGAGAACTGGGGACCCAGGCTGAGGCAGAGACAGGTTGTAAGAGGCTGGACCATGATCCTAGCTTTGGGGCTTGGGGCTCCAGGAGTCACCCAGCTCCCTAGGACTCAATTTCCCCTTCTCTAATAGGAATGAATTAGCTTAAATAGTAAAATTTTTTAAATGTTTAAACACGAAAATTTTTTGAACAAAATCTTGTGATGAGGCCAATGATAATGATAATAAGATGGTAAGTATTACTAACACTGGGGCACAGCACTGTGCCACAGTCTCCCCTCCGGGAGTGAAGGGTGTTCCCGGCTGTCAGGGCTCTGTGAGGACTGCCTCAGCCCAGCTCACACCGCCTTCATCGGATGACGGACTGAAGCAGGGGATAAAGGCCTGGCTCCCTGGTTCCAATTTGTGACAACTCCAAAAGCCAGCCCAACTCTAAGCTTCCTACGCCGTTGGCTGAGAACCTAGTGGTCTGTTGCAGCCGGACTTGTCTTCCTGTCCTCTCTCCCCGCCACCCTTTTCCTCGTGTGCTGAGCCAACAGCACTCCCTAATAGCCATTCGTTCTCAATCTGTCTCAGAGCCTCGGAGTCTGCTCCTTGGGAATCTAGTGATGTCACTAACGTTTCCTGCAGCCTTATCCTGCTGCGGGGTCTGTGGTAGGCTTTCTACCTGAGTCATCTCCCTTCGCCCCTGCAGCAGTCTGGCACAGGAAGGCAGTAGGGTGATACTGTAGGTACAGTGGTCTTCCTGCTCCTAGGGGGGCATGTTCCAAGACCCCCAGGGGATGCCTGAAGACTCAGATAGTACCTGACTCCATCTATGCTATGTTTTTTCCTGCACACACATACCTATGATAAAGTTTAATTGAATTAAGATTAAATTAATCTGGTGTAACAAATTGCTGTCGGTCAGGGTAAGTTTCTCTTTGTGTTTTCCATCCACACATCTAATGCGTTTTCCGTCTTAACTAGGCACTTGTGAGGCACTGTAGTTGTAACGTTTGCAGTTTGAGGTGCAACAGCAAAACTAGCACAAATTGATTTTTCCCTCTTCGCAATTTCACGGATAGAAGATTTGTTCTTACCACAAATCTCAGCAGCGTCAGCATATGATTTTTTTCTTTGCTTATGAAGTCAAGAACTTTCACCTTTTCACGAAAGCAACCCCTTTATGGTTTCCTTTTGGGATATCCAAATTGCAAGCATCACTACTCTTGCACTTTGGGACCGTTATTAAGTCAAATAAGGATGACTTGAACACAAGCACCACGATACTGCAACTGTCGACCTGTGAACCGAAGAGACAACTAGCAAGTGACTGGCGGGTGGGTTGTGCACAGGCGGTGTGCACAGGCGGTGTGCGGGACAAAGGGCGGGCTCGAGTCGAAGGAGAGAAAGAACGGGACGGCATAAGGTTTCCTCATGCTCCCAGAATGGCGTGCAGCTTAAACTTAGAATTGTTTATTTCTGGAATTTTCTACTTAATCTTTTTGGACCTCAGTTGACTGCAGGTATCTGAAAAGGCGAAAAGTGAAATTGTGGACGAAGAGGCAGTTAGCTTGGGCCCATTCTACTACAAACTGTAGCGTGGTATCGAACCTCAGACAATACTTCACCCTTTTAACCCTGCCTTCTCATCAGTAAAATGGGACTTATCAACAGAACTAAGCCTTGATGTTTGTTGGAAATATTAAATAAGATAACATAGTTTCAAGGAGTAGCATCCCAACTGCAATTAGTTTTGCTTGAATTCAACTCTACATCTCTAGGAAAGTCTTTCATGCACCATTTCTATTATATAGCAGTGGAAATAATCCAGAACCAGGACATCCTCTTAAAAAACTGGCCCTCTGCAGGGCAGAGCATGAAGCTGTTAGCTTCACCAGGGAGGCACTTGGTCCTGGCCCAATGCTAAAACTTAGTTGGATGGTCTCAGGAATTCTTTGGATGCATGTTTCAAAAACACTGATTATAGTGGCTTAAATAAATGTAAAAATCATGTTTCTTCTCTAGGGCACACTCCCTGGCGAGTGGGTGGATGTTCACGGCTCAACTGCTGCAGCACCCAAGTCTTGCAAGTCTGTTTTCTCCCCATTTTATAGCTTCAGCCACATGCCCTTGTCCCAGAAGAAAGGGAAGAAGGAGAAGGATGGCTCCTATGTCGGGAAAGCAAAGGTTGTCCCAGAACCCCACAGCAGGCATCCCCTTATGTCTCCTTGCCCAGGCTGGGCCACATGCCGAGGAGGGCAGGGGATCTGCATGTGGGACCAGCCAGGTGATGGAGTCAAACACTTGCAGAAAGAGGGGAAGAGAAAGAAAGAAAAGTGGGAGAGGAAGAGGGGAAGATAAGAAGAGAGGGAGGGAGGGAGGGAGAGGTGAGAAGGGAGAGGGAGGAAGGAGGAAGGAGGAGGGGGAAGGAAGAAGGAAGGAAGGAAGGAAGGAAGGAAGGGAAGGAGGAAGGAGGAAGGGAAGGAAGGAAGAGAAGGGGAAGGAGAAGGAAGATGATTGGGTGGATAGAATGGAGAGAGGTTGGTGGGGGTGTGTCGTTTTGTTTTTTGGCAGAAGTGAGGGTGGTGGTGTGTTGGGTAGGTGGTTGTGTTGGGGATTTATGGGTTTGGAGTGTGTGTGAATTGCGTTGAGGGGAGGAGAAGAGAGGGAAAAAAGGAAAGTGCCTGGGCTTGAATGAGGAGAAATGAATTGAACTTTCTGCCCTATTGTTTTTTTTGTTGTTGTTGTTGTTGTTTTGCCTAAAACTATGGTGTTCAAATCTGCCCTATTGTTAACTAATTGCGGGAACTTGAGAAAGTCAAATTCTTTGAGCTGAAGTTTTTAAATTTATAAATTGGAAATATTTATATTCACTCCCCAGGTATATTAGTCAGATTAAATATTTAAGGTATGTAAACACACGTTGCAAGCTGTCCTGTAGTGAGTGCTAATCATTAACAAACAAACAAAAACTATTGCACCAATATGAGAGCATGGTTGGTGACAGTAAGAGAATCATTTGGCACTGCAGGTTAATTTCCAGGGTCCATTGTAGTGGTCTTGGGCTTGAAAAGCCCCTGCCGCAAGAGGTGACATACACGTGAAATGGACACTGTACCTCTGGATAACATTTTCAGGTATTGATTTTTCAGGGGCAGAACTAAATCTCAGACACCTTAATGAGGGTCATAGTGCAGAGTGGCCACTAGATGGCAGAAGAATTCTCTCTATGTCACTTCCCATTTCCCAGGGACGCTAATCAAAACACAGCAAGTTAAGTACATTTAAAAATAGCGTGTAGCTATAGGTGTAGCGTGCCACACCTACACTACACTTATTATTTCTTTGTAGACATATCACAAGCTTGTTTCTTTTGTCTTCCCAGGAGTTGAAAGTCAGCCGTCTTGGTAGAATCACATAGTAGAGGCACAGTCAGAGGCATGCAGGAGCGGGCACAAAGCCCCAGCCAGGCACTGCCTCATGGGCAATTGTGTCTCCTTGAAAACGGGAATCTAACTGCATCTACGTCCTGGGAGGTTGTGAGTTTTAAGTAAAATTATGTCGATAGAGTATTTTGCACAGCTTCAGGGATAAAGTAGACAGTATGTAGGTCATTTCTGCTCATCCTTGTCTCCTCTGGGTCCTCTTGTCCCAGGACACTGATGGGGTTTCTGCTCCGGGAACAGGCACGCTGGAGGCTGGCCTGGGTGAGGCTGAGACCCAGAGGCGCTGAGCAGGTGAGCACCAGCAGGGGCTGGAGTTACCAGCGTCATAAGTGTAACACTGGTGCGAAGCGCCAACCTGCCGCCCACACTCCAAGTGTGCAAAGTGGCTGGATGTCCTGACAACACTTTTTCTCTCCTAGTACAGGATCCAACCTACAGTCTGTTGTTACATTTGCTATTTATGTCCCCTTAGCCTTATTTAATCTAGAACAGTTTTACAACTTTGTTTTTTTAATGACATTGATATATTTGAAGAATACTGCTTATCACCTTTAAAAAAGGAAAAATGCTTCTGAGCTCAACTTGTACCTACCTTCTCAGCCACCCCTCTGCTGACCCATGTTTCCTTTTAGTTTTTAGAGACCAAGTGTGGACACTAAGCACACTCCCTGCTCCTAGAGTATATTTACCTCTGAGCTCTTTCAATGGTCAGAGCTAGGAAACAATCACGTGCACATACACATGGACATACACTTGTACAGACGTGTACACATTCACATACATGAAGGCACATTCACACATGCACACATCTGTACATACACTTGAGCATGCATACATGCATATGCATATTTTAGACATCATGAATTCTCACTGAAATCTCTAATTCCCATCCATCTCTATGGGATTTTTTTTCTCCTTCCAGGGATTGAAGTGTACTACATTTTAATCTACATATTAAAGCAAAGATTGGCCTCCCAAAACTAGAGGATACGTGGCCCATTTGGTAGCAACCAATAGCATTCATTAGTAGCAGAAAAAGAAAGCCACAAGAACTGGTTCAGACTGGAGAGAGGTACATGGGAATATCACTATAAATCTTTTTGTTCATTTATTCGCTCATTTAAAAAAGCATTTTTCATCACCTACTAGGTGTCAGGCACTATTTTAGGTGTTGGGCTATATCAACGAACAAATTAAGTCTTTTGATTTGAAGACACACAACATACAATTAATATAAAACAACACAAGTGCTCTCTTCCGAGAGCGCGGTGGCTGCCGCAGGCGCGCTCAGAGAAGGAAAGTGCGCCGAGCGGAGCCCTGAGGCCGCGGCAGCAGTCTGAGCCCGCACGGTCACGTGGAGGGAGGGCCACGTGTCTGTCGGGGGACTCGGGGACAGCTTCAGAGCGGACGTGACTTTGAAACGGGAGGAGAGCAGCAAAGACGGACGATGCCTCTTGCGTGAGACGGGGAAGGTGAGAATGCGGAATCAACAGGTCGGATGCTGGCCACCTCGATGTGTGGGGTAAAGGAAGAGAGAAAGCTGCGACGGGGGCCAGATTTCTGGCCAGGCATGGCAGCAACATCATTGACCAGAAGACATACTCAGGAAGAGGGCCAATTCAGGAAGAAGGTACAGAGTCTGCTCTGAGATGTGATGAGTTCGAGCCGCCCCCAGGACGCAGATGGCGCCCGGAGCTGAGGTGCTCCTGGGGCGGGGGTGGGGCTCCAGCAGGCGCCGACAGGCTTTGCTAATGAAGCCGTGGGGACTGGCAGGAAGACAGCCACGCGGGGAACTCTGGAGAATGTCTAGGCTGTGGGCAAAGGAAGAGAAGTCAGCACAGAAGAACAGCACAGTCAGGAGCAAACTAAGACAAGTGGGAGAGCAAGAAGCCAGTAGACACCGTGAGAGGAAAGCACGTCCAGGGAGGGTGAGGGCGCGGATTCTAGTTCCATATACTTGGAGCGACCTGTTTCAGCGCGCCCCTTTCATTTCATTTGTTTGTGCAGATGTCGCAATCCGTCCTGAGCTGCGACCTAGAGGCTCAGACCCCACGCCGCTTCCTGAGCTTCCGGGCTTAGCGGAGTGCGGTCCCGCGGTGGTTCATGAGCAAGAGCGCGCCGACCGGGCGGGCGGTGACGGCCAGGAGGCCGCAGAGCACTCTGTGGAGCCCCAGCATGTTATTTCACTGGCTGGGGTTTTTTAAAAACCAGAGCCAGGACAAAGGATACACAAGAACTCAATACCATTTCTCACAAATAGAAAGAATAAGGAGTAAATTGAGTATATACTCTCCTGCAGAGCTTATCTGCCATTCGTGGCTTTCCTTCCTGTCTGCCCGGCGCCCACTCATGCTGCTCCCAAGAGCCCTGGACGCTCCCCGAAGCGCGGCCGGCGCCGCTGCCTCAGTCACTTCCAGCCCGCCGCAGCCCGGCCGTTTGCCCTCCTGTTCTCCCTCCTCTCGCTCTTGTCTGACGGTAGGGACACAGACTTGTCACCTGTGGGGCCCAAGGTCAGTCTTCCCACGCGCAGATGGAAGAGGGCGCTGTACTCGTCTTCAAGCCCCGAACGCCGTCTCCCCGCGGTCTGCGGTCCGCCCGTGCGCAGAGCTCGGCTGCCTCTGGGCGCCCGCCGCCCGGTCCCGCGCGGCCGAGCCCGCCGCCTCGCTTGCCCGTCCTCATGGTGGATGTCGTGTCTCCCGCCTCGACATCCAGTGAGCCCCCGAATTCAGGACCACGTCTCGCATCTTCGAGTCCTGACTATCTAGTCCAATGCCCGGTGCCACAGCTTGTGTGGTGTTCCATGAACATTCGGTGGGTGGAGTGGCGTGTTTCCGAAAGATCACTAATCCTGAGTGTCTGGACTTTTCTAATCTAAATTGCCTTTCTTGGTTGTCTGACTAGAGTAAAATGTTATGGACATTTTGTTGTGCGTCTCACCTTTCTGCGTCTCTTGGTTGGTTCTATTTTATCATATAAACTCCATGAGAATGTGGTAGGATATTGCCCTTCTCTTTTACAGAGGAAAAGGGAATAAGAAACAAGCAAAAGAAGTTTCAAAGGTATTCTGGGAATTTAACAGGAATGAATTCTTGTCTTTCCCTGTGTTGGGCCCCTAGGACTTTATAAATACAAAACAACCAAAACAATGTGTAGACAGATGATGCGGCCAGTTCGTCAGAGCCGTGGGCGCGGACGCGCTCGCTATCTCGGGCTGTTTGCTCGGGAAGCCCTGGAAGCCGCGGCCGCCGGCACGCAGAGCGCGGCCCTGTGCGAGCAGCAGCGGCGCCCCTGCCGCGGGGCCGTGCGCTGTGCGCGGGCGCGGGAGCCCGCCGCGCTCATCCCCGCGCACAACGGCGCCATCTTTCACAGGCTTTTTCTGAGTTCTGAGGAGAAAACAGCCTTGTGGCCGCCATCCATCGTGTCTAGGGCTAGGGCGAAGCCAGCTCGGCGCGCCTTGTGCTGTCTCAGCCAAAGCGCGCTCCTCTCGCACTCACGGCGCCCGGCCTGGCCCCGCTCTGCCGCTCGGGCCGCGCCCGCCGGGACTTGCCGCGGGAGGCCGGGAGGCCCGGAGGCCGGGAGGCCGGGAGGCCGGGAGGCCGGGACTTGCCGCGGGAGGCCGGGAGGCCGGGACTTGCCGCGGGAGGCCGGGAGGCCGCCGCCGCCGCCGCCGAGGCGGGCGTGGGCAGCAGGCCACCGGGGCATGCCAAACCAGCGTCACGGTGCAGACAGTCGCGCGTGGCGCTCAGACTTGTGCCGGTGGCGTGGGGTGGGGAAGGGCTTCAGACAGGTCGGAAACGGATGTGTTTGTAAGAAAGCGTGTGTGACGTTAGTGATTTTTATATAATGCTTTATTATCTCTTCCACATGTGTGTTAGAAATTGTTGAATCCATCCCTTCTCCCCCACGTTCCGCAGCACGTTATTTGCGTGTTTCATACTGTTTACTGAGTCTGCCACGTGCGGGCCTGTGCTCGGCGTCCCTGGCGGGCCTGCCGGGCATTGTCGTCCGTGGTTCTGTGTCTCTGCCACGGTGTCCGAGTGTCTTTTTAGCACGTTGGAGTGACATTTTTCTTGCTTAATTACTATGTGTTTAGCTTGATTAACTTTATTATTGTTGAAATAAAGGTAAAACAAACAAAAAACATTAGTGACATTTATTATGGAATCAATGAGCAAAACCAATAAAATCCAGGGGTTTTAGGGAATATATTCTGCCTCATGGTGATCATTTGTGTGTCATTTGATAAACGTGTTTTGGGTAATAGTTGGAATTTTTATGTCAATCAGTCTGATTAGAACTTCCACGTCAATTTTCATTTTGATAAATGTCAGTCTTTTTTCTCAAATATTAACAGCTCAGGAAAGAAAGAGACAATGGTAATAAAACAACAAGTAGCAAGACTGAGCTGTGTTTCACCCAAACAGGAGAACAGATGCTCCAAAGCCAGCATCAACCGGCCCCATCGCACCCAGACGAAATCCGTGTTTCCCTCGCAGGTGGACAGAACGCAAAGCTTCAGACAGTGTGCAGGGGAAGGTCAGTGGTGACGCGGTTGAGACTTGGGGGTGTTGAAACTACTGATCATTGAAGCAGAGAGTGTTGAAATAGCATGTTGTTTTAAGAGTCTTCACTGGGAGACTAATATTTCAACACATTTGAATGACTTCCTTGCTGCAGAATGTTTAGGCTTAAAAAGTGAAGCTGGATCAGCAATAGGAGCTTCCAAGAGAAAAATGATTCAACTTAGATGCACTCCACGGCGGAGAGATCCAGGGCTCCGTAGTGAGAAAGGTCCCAGTGAGGCACCCTGGGTTGCCCACTCCCAGTGAGGGGGACTTGCAGTTGGACCCACTTTCCAAATCAGAATGTTAGGTGAGAGATAAATTTCAGATTCCCAGATTATCGTGACGTAATTACTGAGGAAATTGTTGTTTAAGAGTCAATTTTGATTTTCTGAGAATTAGGGAATTAAGATAAATACTTCCATCCAACCCCTACACAAATCCATATGGTGTTTACTGCTCAGTGGTTTGGTGAGTGCATACATGAAATAAGCCCTATGCAGGTGTCTTAGCTGAATTTAAGTGATGATTCAGTTACATAAAATTAGAACTCTCATCTGAGTAGAATGAATGTGATCCTTATTTGAAAACTGAAATTGATTCGAGGGAAAAACCTATACCTATTAGATTAGTGCCCATTAGTGGAATACTGGATTTTTCTCAATATTTATTAATGCCTATTTACTGTAATCCTTTGATTCTTATTCTTTTGGTGGTTGTTTGAAAATTTTTTAAAATTTTATTACTAATATTATTTTTGATTATATACATTTATAAGGCATAATGTGATATTTATATATGTATACACTGTGGAATGGTTTTGTTTCTGATTCATCAATAGATGAATAGTAATAATAATTATCATTATTGTAAAACCACAGGAAAATATAGATATTTCAACAGGCAACCTAGACTTCTAGAGCAGCTTGGAGAGGCCATGAGGAACATCCCTAGGTCTCTAATGCATAGTTAAGGGTCTTTTGTGCAAGGATTTGTAAAAGAACAAGGCTATCAACAATGTGTTTGAGGTTCTTGCATTTGTATACAAAAATAGTTCTTACCATAAAGTAAGAGTGATTGTTTGTTCTTCGTGGTGCCTATTAGAATTAGGGTTAGATTTTTGTTAGTGGTGATTAGAATCTGGGACCTAGGACTGCCTGAATCTTGCCCTGTAAACCATCTACCTCCCTCCCCCCATAGGATTCCCAAGTAATCCACATGAAAGGATCGGTAGACAAATAAGAAACAGAGTACCATTTTATCATAAGCTGGGCAAAGACCCAACCCTCAACACAGGACTCTCTGAGAAAGCTGGTTTGGCTCCCCTTGGCTGAGCTAATGCTCAGATTGGGCTAAGCCATTGGTCTGCTGGCCACCCAGCCCAAAGCCAGCATCTAAATCTAGGATCTTTCTCTTGTGATCAGCTTTGCCACCAGCAAGGATATCAAAGGATATGGCACACAAAGGACATGGCACACAAAGGATATGGCACACACATCAGTGGCGTGTGTGTGTGCATGCAGGGAGAGAACACGAGGACGCTGAGGCTGCCCTAAATGATCCGGCCAGAAGAGATGGAAGAGATGGGATGCCTGTCACATTACAGTGAGTGGGTCCTCCCTGTGCCCGGGTCCAATCCCACTGGCCACCCCTCTTGTGGCGAGGGGCCAGGGTGGAGTGGAGGAGAGGCAGGCTGTGCTCCCCATCTCCACAGCAGAGGCAGAGCCGAATGTGCCTAGGCATGGGCCTGCACAGGCACAAGAGGCAAAAACAGGAATAAAAAGAAAGACAAATTACAACCTTTGGTGACCTTGTGGCTCATGGTCTGAAGATTGACAACTACTGTTTTGAACTCATGTGTCGCATTCCTGCCGGAGTCTGTCCAGCCAGCCTAAAACTCACACAGAGATGCTCCTGGGCCACGTTTGTACTCAGGAGACAACAGCTCTCTGTGTTCTCTGGTCCTGCTCCAAAGTCCTCCCTGATAAATAGTAATACAGGTAATATAGTAGCAATGCTATAAAAATACAGTAAAAATATTTTTATTTCTTATTTTTAAATAATGTAATATCAATAATAACTGTAAATTGTTTCTAATGTCAAATAATTCTAAAAGTCTTGAAATTAAAAAGTGCCCTGCCCCCATTCCATTTCTTAGATAGTTCGTCACAAAGTCAAGTATTCTTAGCTTTTCTAGTTATTTCTCATGACTTTTGCTTTCATATTTCTAAATAGTATGTTGATTCTACTACATTTTATAATCATGTTTTCAATGTGCTATTGGAGATGAAGATTAGCTTTTCTACACCAACTATCATCCCAAATTCATCTACTCTAAGCTTCCTAATGTAGCTACATCACAGTTTTTAATCAAACCATTAGTTTATATTTTTGACTATCCAAATTTCTTTAAAAAATAGATTTACATTCTTGCGACTCTCCAAATATTGTTCATTATTATACTTCCACCTTTCTTATAACCCTTTTGTTGTTATTGTTTTTGGAGTTAATCATTTACCCAATTTTTCATTTGTCTAGTTTTCTGTGAATGAACTAAATGATATTTTTTCAAGAACTCCATTCTCTCTGCCAGACCTATCAAAATTATTTTCCATATATTCAAATACATCTTTATTTTTTTTTTCTGGAGAGCTCCCAGGAAAACTGTCCTGTGTGCCTCTCTTCTAATCTGTGCTGTTTTTTGTGGAGGCCTTCTACCCAGTTATAATTGTGTATATTCCTTTTGATGCTCACCTGTGTTGGATATTTTTGCTGGATGTAATATCCTCTTCCTGATCTCTTTTTCCTTTAATTTTTGTTTTCAAATATATTCTAACATCATCCTGAAATAAGGTGGAAATAAGTTAGTTTTTCAGTCCCAAAAATCTGAAATATTTTATCACCATATGTGATAGTTTGTCAGGGTATAGGATTTTGTGCTAAAAGTCTTTTATTATTACTATTTAAATAGATTTAAGGCGTACAAGTGGCTTTTTGATAGATGGATGGATTGTATAGTAGTGAAGTTGGGGCTTTTAATGTACCCATCACCCATTGTATACATTGTACCTGATAGGTAATTTTTTTATCCTTTCCCCTCCCTGACCCTTTGAGTCTCCAAAGTTCATTATACTACTCTGTATGACCATGCATATCTATGATTTAGTTTCTTTTCATAAATGACTATATGTGGTATTTGGTTTTCTGTTTCTGATATATTTCACTTAGGATATTGGCTTCCAGTTCCATCCAAGATGCTGCAAAACACATTATTTCATTCTTTTTCATAACTGAAGAGTAGTCCATTGTGTGTGTGTGTGTGTGTGTGTGTGTGTGTGTATGTCACATTTTCTTTATCCACTCATCAGCTGACAGACACTGAGGTTGATTCCTAATACCTTTGGCTTAATATCTTTGTCATTGTGAATTGTGCTACAGTGAACATATGAGTACATGTGTCTTTTTGATATAATGATTTCTTTTCCATTGGGTAGATTCCCAGTAGTAGGATTGTTGGATCAAATGGTAGGGTAGGTCTACTTTTAGTTCTTTGAGAAATCTTCATACTATTTTCCACAGAGATTGTACTCATTTACATTTCTATCAACAGTGTAGAATCATTCACTTTTCACCAATCCACGCCAACTGTGTTTTGTCTTTTTAGTAATGGGTATTCTGACAAGGGTAAGGTGGTAGGTATCTCTTTGTGGTTTTAATTTTCATTTCCCTGATGATGAGTGATGTTAAAAAATTTTCATTTGTTTTTTGGCCATTTGTATATCTTCTTTTGAAAAATGTCTGTTAATATCTTTTGTCCACTTTTTAAATGGGTTTTTATCTGTTGTTGATTTGTTTGAGTTCCCTGTAGATTCTGGATATTAGTCATTTGTCAGATGTATAGTTTGTGAATATTTTCTCTCATTCTGTAGGTTATTTACTCTATTGACTATTTCTTTTGATGTGCAGAGACTTTTTAGTTTAAGTAAGTCCTATTGATTTGTTTTTGCTTTTGCTGTGTTTGCTTTGGAGTCTTAGATGCAAATTCTTTGCCTAGGCCAATGTCCTAGAATTTTTCCTAAGTTTTCTTCTAGAATTGAATTTTTGTGGTGTCAGGTCTTACATTTAAGTCCTTAATCCATCTCAAGTTAACTTCTGTATAGGGTGAGAGACAGAGATCAGTTTTATTTTTTGTATGTGTGTCTCTAATTTTCCCAGCACCATTTTTTAAATAGAGGGTCTGTTCCCCAATGTATGTTTTCATCTGGTTTGTCGAAGATCAGTTGGTTGTAGTGTATGATTTTATTTCTGGTTCTCTATTCTGCTCTATTGAGGTATGTGTCTACTTTTATATAAGTGCCATGCTGTTTTGGTCACTATAGCCTTGCAGTATAATTTGAAGTCAGGTAAGGTGATTATTTTCAGATTTATTCTTTTTGTTTGAGACTCCTTTGGCTATTCAGGCTAGTTTTTGATTCCATATGAAATTTAGAATTTTACTTTCCATTCTGTGAAAAATGATGTTAGTATTTTGATGGAAATTTCATTGAATCAGTAAATCATTTGGGGCAAAATGCACATTTTAAAAATAATTGATTCTTCCAATCCATGAGCATGGTATGTTTTTTCATTTGTTTGTGTTATCAACAATTTCTTTTATTAGTGTTTTGTAGTTCTTGTAGAGACCTTTCACCTCCTTAGTTAAGTATACTCCTAGGTATTTTATTTTATTTTATTGTAGCTATTATAAATAGTATTGAGTCCTTGATTTGATTCTCAGATTCGCTGTTATTAGTGTATAGAAATGCTACTGATTTGTGTACATTAATTTTGTAACCTGGGACTACTGAATTTATTCATAAATTCTAGGAGTTTTTTTCAGAAGTCATTAGGATTTTCTAGATATAAGACCATATCATTGGTAAACAGGGATAGTTTTAACCTGCTGTTTTCCAGTTTGGATACCCTTTATTTTTTTCTCTTGCCTAACTGCTCTGGCTAGGACTTCTAGCACTATGTTGAATAGAAGTGGAAAACTTTGTCTTGTTTCAGTTCTTAGGGGAATGCTTTCAACTTTACCCCATTCAATATGATGTTGGCTGTGGGTTTGTTATATATGGCTTTTATTATCTTGAGGTATGTTCCTTCTATGCCTAGTTTATTTTATCAAATAAACTGGATTTTATTGAATGTTTTTTCTGCTTCTATTGAGATGATCATGTGTCTTTTTAAAATTCTATTTATATGGTAAATCAATATATTTATTGATTTGTATATGTTGAACCATCCTTGCATCCTTGGGATAAAACTCTATTGTGCTGAATTTTGATCCACTGTTGGGTTCAATTTGCTAATATTATGTTGAAGATTTTTACTGCTATGTTCATGAGCAATATTGGTCTGTAGTTTTCATTTTTATGGTGTTCTTTTATGGCTTTGGTATCAGAGTGATACTGGCTTCATAGAATGAGTTAGAGAGGATTTCCTCCTTCTCAATTTTATGAAAAAATTTCAGTAGGATAGGGACCAATTCTTTGTAGGTCTGGTGGAATTCAGAATTCAGCTATGTATCTATCTGGTCATAGGGCTGTTTTTTTTTTGGTTGGGAGGCATTTTATTATTACTGATTCATTCTTGCTAATTGATATTGGCCTGTTTAAGATTTCTATTTCTACCTGATTCAAGTTTGGGAGGTTGTGTATTTCCAAAAATTCATCCATTTCCTCTAGATTTTCTGGTTTTTCTGCATATAGGTGTTCATAGTAGTCTCACATGAGCTTTTGTATTTCTGTGGTATCAGTTATAATGTCTCTTTTTTTTTTATTTCTGATGGAGCTTATTTGAATCCTCTGTCTTCCTTTTTGTGGTTAATCTAGCTAGTAGTGTGTTGATTTTTTTTTTTTTTTTTTTTTTTTTTTTTTTTTTGAGACAGAGTCTCACTTTGTTGCCTAGGCTAGAGTGAGTGCCATGGCGTCAGCCTAGCTCACAGCAACCTCAGACTCCTGGGCTCAAGCGATCCTTCTGTCTCAGCCTCCCAAGTAGCTGGGACTACAGGCATGCGCCACCATGCCCGGCTAATTTTTTCTATATATATTAGTTGGCCAATTAGTTTCTTTCTATTTATAGTAGAGACGGGGTCTCGCTCTTGCTCAGGCTGGTTTTGAACTCCCGACCTCGAGCAATCCGCCCGCCTCGGCCTCCCAGAGAGCTAGGATTACAGGCGTGAGCCACCGCGCCCGGCCGATTTTGTTTATCTTTTCAAAGAGCCAAATTTTCATTTCCTTAATCCTTTGTAATTTATTGTTTTTAATTGTTTACTTCTGCTGTGCTCTTCATTATTAATTGCCTTCTGCTAGCTTTGAATTTGGTTTGTTCTTATTTTTCTAGTTTCCTAAGGTATGCACTAGGTGAATAATTAGTGATCTTTCTGGCTTTTTTGATATAAGCATTTAGTGCTATAAATTTCCTCTTAGCACTGCCTTTTCTGTATCACAGAGATTTTGGTAGCTTGTGCCACATTGTCATTCAATCCAAAATTTTTTGATTTACATCTTGATTTCTTCATTGGCCCAAAGATCATTCAGCAGCAGTTTCTTTGATTTCCATGTATTTTGTAT